AAAAAAAAAAAACGATAAGAGTTTGATGAAATGGTAAACATTAGCCCGTTGCATTTTGGATGGGACGAAACAGCACTCAGCGAAACAATTTAGAAAATTCAAAATTAACGCGCGCTCGCCGCTCACGATTCACCAAAGCAACACTCCAACCAGATGTCGCCTGCATCACCGTTGACTTCACGAAACCAAATTGTGTCATGATTCGTGAATGCAATTTCATCTTCTTTTAGAAGCGACAAACGTTCTACATAAATGAAAAGTAATAAACAAAGATCAAACGGGAAAACCGAAGAAGAGTGAGGTCAAGTACCTTGAAACACAGGCATGTCCTCAACTCGATAAGAGGAAGAAAAGAAAGTAAAAAAAAAAAAAAAAACGCTGTCGAAATTCGAAACTCGAAAAGAAATAATTTCACCTTCCCTGCGAGTTATGTGGGACGAACTTACGCTGCAACTTCTATGAGATTGCAAAGCCTGCCATACAACGTCTACATCGCATGCCGTCCTCTCTCGTACAGATTGGAACATTAAAATGCCAATTGCCTCCCATTCTACGGCAAAAAGCTTGAAACACATCGTCGCTTCCTTTCATCCACCATGCCATCGAATCTTAAACATACCTTGACATTACGATTCCCATTCACTTTCACTCTTGGGCAGTAATTGAAACACATCTATCGCTTTTCCGTTTCGTACCCCTAACCGCTTTCCCCATCTCTTCCACCGTCCTCTCTCCTTTACCCCCCCCCCCCCTCCCTCCTTTCCTCTTCCCATGCCCAGCTCCTCAAACTACCTGAAAAACCAACAAGCCACCCTCACCTCTCCCAAAACTACAGCTTCATTTGCCAATGCCAACGTATAGCAACCAAACTCTAAACTATAGCTATGAGATAACGATAACAACACAGCGCGTGGCAGTGCCTAGGCTACAGCTATCAAGGCTGTTCAATGCGTCAGAACACGTCGATAACTACCACAATTATCAATTCTCAAAAAACAAATCATCGGTGGTGAAAGACGGAGAAACTCACAATCACAGTGCTTTAGACTCTGACCTATGTTGCTGTGGTGGAGTCCGATCCGTCCACAATATATATCACCCCCTTATTTGGGGGCTTAGGACCAATAGGAAGTCACACACTCGCGGTTCGTGAAAACTCTTGAGCCTCAGATCCGTGTGGGGCCTCATAGGCCCGCATTGCCCTATTCCAGCATGCCAAATGGCAAAAGACACCCCTAGTTTTCCGCCCACTCTACAACCCGCTCCTCTGCCACCCACTCATTGCCTCAAGGAGCAGCAGGTCTTCTTCGATCAATACCTCTCCTACGCATGCTGATCGGCTGCAATCTCCATGATAATCTGCAATGCAATCCTCACCAGGTTCAGCAGCATCTCTCCTACCAAAAAGGATCGGCGAGGTCGGTCGCTTCCGGAGGGTTTCGTTGTCGCTTTGCCATGCACAAGGCGTTCTGCCGTACACCAACCAACCCAACTCTTCCCTACTCCACAACCAACTCTTCTTGTCCACCCTCTTTCTACTCGTTCCTCATAACACATCTCTCCCATTCCTAGCTGATCCAATTACATTCATTGGGCGATAAATGTCAGGCCGAACTAGCCTTGCCCGACTGAACTATCCTGCTCCTCTTAACTTCCAGTTTCAACACAATATACAGCATCTGATAGACAGTCACACTGACCTTCCTTGAGGCGCTACATTGGTGCCTCAATTTCCTTCCCACACGTGTCATCCTCTTTTCTGCTTGCCAACTTTATCCCTCCGGGAACAACCGATACATTGCTTTGCTTTTCTCAACTCTCCTCACGCTTGCATCGTTACCCCCGTGTCCCCACAACGAACTTGGCCGGTATCCCTCCGGGAACAACCAATACATTGCTTCGCTTTGCTTTGCTTAACTCTGCGCACGCTTGCATCGTTACCCCCGTGTCCCCACAACAAACTTGGCCAGTGACGCCTCGTTCGTTGTGTGGTCCCATGAGACATTTTGTGAGGGACGCCGAGCCCGATTCTCCGCCTGTACCGATGGCCAGTGCAGCCAAGGAGGTGTCTGTACGACATGCACTGCAGGTTTTTCTTTCCTCGCTGCATGGCAGATTTGTCGCAGCGGTTATCACCGTGTCAAAGAGCTATGCCCATCAAAGACCGCCGTGACAACCAGACAGTTACCGGTTATGGGTCATTCTTGGTTAAGGTCGACTCCGTTGGAGTTTGCACCCCGGCACTACTAATATTTTGAGGCGGTAGTGTTCCAATTTCTAGGTCGCAACCACAATCCTTCTTTCTGGGCCTTCCGTAGCTGGGCCTTCCGTAGAAGCAAAGACACCTTTGTAATGGCCAAACAGGTCCTACAACACGACCGAATGTGAACCAGGATACTGTTCTTTGTCAGTTTATAGAGTTTAAAGTTTAAACCTGTGCAACACCCTGAGATTAACAGGACAGGCATGTGGGTAACACTGCCGATCGCTTAGTAGTCTAATAATAGAACCTTTGACAGGAGATAGCGAACGCCAATCGCCGCAGGACTCAAAGCTGGCTGGCATTGCTGGGAAAGTTTGTAGTCTCTGGTTGGCGGTGCAGAGAGCGTGGACGCCGCATCCCACATCTTCCCCTTTGCAGCGTTTCCGCGGTGTTGAATATGCGTCTGACTCAATCCCGATTCTCATTTGACACTGATTCAGACCAGATTCAGACCCGTTGGTTGGCCTGCAGTGAATGTCCCTTTTCTGATTGCAGGATGCTTTTCGACAGAAGGCTATCATGCATTTCCCCCACATCCATGGACACATTCGGTCATGATCCCAATTCCATCCTGGTTGGGGGTTTGAACCCAGCTAAAAGGTGGTTCGACTCCGATTGGGTTTTCCATGTTGCTATAACCCTACCTGCCTCTCAGCCCTGTGGCCCAGAGCACTGTCTGATGCCGCCTTGCTGTCGCTGCCCTTCTCAAGCAGAGGATCAGTGCCCTTTTCAAAAGCGTTTTCCAACACCTGCTCCACGCTATGTACTGGTATGACCTGCAATCAGACATGAGGTATGAAAGGCAACAAGGCAATCCACCAATCCGTCAGAGGCAGCAGCAGTTCTCTCTCCGATACCATGGTGATAAACCCCACCTGCCACTCACACACTGAACAGTCCATCGGTCCTGATTTCAAGCTGAGCAAAGGTTGCTGGAGCAAGACACAATCCTCTGATGGATGCTCTTGGAGAAAGAGCCAAATTTGAGACGGACTCATCAAGATTCAATCAGAGAGGAACAGGAGGGAGGTGAAAATCCGGACGACTACTCTGCCAAATTTGAGACGGACTCGTCAAGATTCAATCAGAGAGGAACAGGAGGGAGGTGAAAATCCGGACGACTACTCTGAAACAGATTGAAGGTCCTACTATTATCATTATTAAACGGTTGCCTCTTAGGCTTTGAGTGAAGATAGGGAGACTTTACGTTCACCCAGAAGAGCCTGAGTCGATCAATTCAATATGTAAATAGCGGTTATAGATTAATGGTGGCCTCAGCATCGATCAATCCAGCAAATTAGAATTGAAAGTAGACGCAAAGTGAGTGGCTTGTCGCTTTCTTTCTTTCTTTCTTTCTTTCTTTCTTTCTTTCCGTCTCATTAATGAAACAAGTGCGATGCGTTGCATAAAGTCTCTGAGGATCCCAAACAGCTCGGCGGTCGCTGGCTAGGGCGAGCGGCCGTACACTGGCGCGGCGGCTGACTGCCCAGAGAGAGGGACGTTTTCATTTGTGCTCGTCTTTCCAATGTTTCCTGCTCTCTCTCTCTCTCTCTCTCTCTCTCTCTCTCTCTCTCTCACACACACACACACACACACACACACACACACACACACACACACACACAGAGTCAGGGTTTTGGACCGACGGTCTGCTAGAATTGCAGGGTTGGAGTGAGGAGAGTGGACCACTTTTCTCAGCGGTATGACTAACTCTGGGCGATGTGGTGAGTCCTTACCCATCAGTCAAATGCATCCTGGGCATACAGTGTGTCCAGGTTCAACCTCCTGATGAGTCGGTGAAAGCCCGACGAAACAGTGTGGCACAGTCATGCTTTTTTGTGAGTGGATAGCGAATATGACAACACATACACAGTCAAAAAGACCGGAAAAAAAAAACGCAGTACGTGGGCACTCAGGCGAACACCAGCCGACCTCATTCAGAGCACTACCTTGGTGTGTCTGACCGCAATTCCTTCTAGAAGAATTATGAACTATACAGTGAGAACAAGAAAGGAGGTCCATCGGGCCACATGATATTAAATTAATTTTTTGGGGGTACAGTGGGGTCATATGGGTAGGCTTGCCTACTCGACCCCTCTGAGTTGCCTCTGTATTGCACTGCAGCAGAGCGTGGCTCGCCCCATTAAAAAAGGGAAAAAAAAAGAAGAAAAAAAAAAAAAGGCAGTAAAGGGATGTAATAGGGGTAAGGTTTAGTGGTAGGGGGATGCAAGTGCAGAGAAACTGCAATAGGCTGAAACTGCTGACTTGGAACGTGAGAGGCCTGGGGCCCCAATCACTGCTGCCCAAGAGAAGGGAGTTGGTGAGGAAAGTGAAAGATGAGCAGATCGATGTAGTGTGCCTACAAGAGACTAAGCTGAATGAAGCTAGAACGGTGGAGCCGGTGTTATGGTGGAAGGGCCACCAGATTTGGGCCCCGGTGCAGGGTACTAGGGGAGGGGTCTGTATTCTCATCTCCCCGCATTTTAGAGGAGATGTTACGGACTGGTTTTGCGACTCTAGGGGAAGGTGGGCCTGGGTGGTGCTTAAGTGGGGGGAAACGACATGGGGGGTAGTTACCATCTACGGGCCGTCAGAATTGGGCACAAGGCGCAGGATGTGGGAGCGCCTGCAAACTTTAGTTCCGCACATTGACAATCTCATAATAGCAGGGGATTTTAACTCGCTCGTAGATCCGGAACGAGATGCAGCAACTATACGGCAGGGGGAGGCAGACTCTATGGCCCTGGTCAACGGTATGACAAGCCTGGGATGTACAGATTCGTATAGAACATTGCACCCGCAGGAGAGGGCCTTTACTTTCTGGGGAAACACTGTTACCCGAAGGAGTCGCATCGACATGATATGGGCGTCGGTGGAGCTGAACGAAACTGTGTACCGATGGCTACGTCGGATCACTCAGCAGTAATTGCGACATTCCCGGTGGGTCGCCTGGAGGTAGGCCGCCCGCCCAAAGCGATTCCACCATGGGTTTTCAAAAGCCCGGAGTATGGCCCCGTCATTGTTAAGTTTTGGGAGGACTGGGCCGATGACTGCACTCAGGAACAGCTCCTGCCACAAGTCATAACAGCAGTGCAGAGATTGCGGCACATCTTGCAGAAGCTGCTGCGGGGAAATTACCTGGCGCACAAGAAGACAGGGGAGGAGTACGCCCAAAGGATGGAGGAATTGGACAAAGGCCCTGAGGAGGGCCAGATGGAGGAAGAATGGTGGGCAGAGAGAGTGGCAGTAGCACGAGGATGGAGGGAGTGGCAGGCAGAGGAAGCTGTTAAATGGGGCAGACGCACCAAGGAGACATGGATCACATTGGGGGAACGAATGTCACGACAATTCTTTGCTACAGTGGCAACGAAAAAGGCAGCACCAATAATGACAGCCATGGACCACCCCTTTGACGGCCAGATGGGGCAACAGCGTACTACTCGGGGAATTTTGAAGTGTGTTACCCATTTCTATCGCCAACTGCTCACGGAGGAGGAGCAATGGACTCCCGAGGAGATGGCCGGTGAACCAGAGCAGGATATTTGGAGCCATGTCCAGAGCCGCCTCAATCTTGCGGAAACTTGTAAGCCGGAAGAGGACATCATGGACGAGGAAGTGGTAAGAGCAATTGCAGAGCTCCCTAGGCTCAAAACGCCTGGCTTGGATGGAATGCCGGTGAAACTCTATAAAGAACTCCGTAATTTCTTCGGAGTTCTGCTGACAGAAGCCTACAACGAGGCTGTGAAGGGAGGCACCCTTCCTCAAGGTTTTGCGGATGCGTATGTGGTTTTACTCTTCAAAAAAGGAGCCAACGAGGACGTGCAGAACTGGCGCCCGATTTCCATCCTGAATGTGCTATATAAAATACTTGCCAAAGTCTTGGCAAACCGGTTGAAGGAAGTCCTACCAAGTATCATCGACTCCACTCATGGCGGGTCGTCAGATCTTGTCGAATATTTTATTAGCACAGCAGATACTGGAGGAGGATCAATGCACAGGTCAGGCACTGGCCTTTGTGTCAATAGATCTTGAGAAGGCCTACGATCGGGTCAGATGGGAATTTTTACTGCAAAGTATGGCGCGAAGGGGAGTTGGGCCTATCCTGTGCAGTTGGATTCGTGGCCTCCTAAAGGGATCCTCGACTGTGATGCAAGTTAACGGGGTAAGATCGGATCGGTTGCGGGTGACTCGGTCGGTGAGGCAGGGCTGCCCGCTCTCTCCTGCCCTCTATGTCATCTACATTGAGTTGCACGAGATATTGCGGGCCGACATCCGCCTTATCAGTCTCAAGGCGGGACCAAGAGCGGAACTGCAATCTACAGCTTTTGCGGACGACACGGGTGCAGCTGTGGCATACTGCATAGCCACACGGGCCCTACAGGGCCCGTCCCAGACAGTCAGCCTAAAAGCCTAAAACTTAGGGCTTACAGGCCCCGGAGACATTTCAGCCTGACAACCGAATTCAGGCCCTACAGGCCCTAAAACGGTTGCCAGACTGAAGCCTAAAACTTAGGGCTTACAGGCCCCGGAGACATTTCAGCCTGACAACCGAGTTCAGGCCCTACAGGCCCTAAAACGGTTGCCAGACTGA